ACAACAACATTGCCTGCCCCCCATTTCCCCGTATAGCAGGCGACCAAGGGAAGCACCCTTTAAAAATCAGACAGAAAAATGCTAGTTACCTACTATAGTGGTAACTGGGATCCGCTGGGTGCTGCTACCACTTCAACCAGGGTTGAAGGAACCTCTCAGATCCCTTCAAGCAGAATGAGGGTTTCCCGAGCCCCTGTGAGGGTTCCATGTTTTGGCGGGGGGGGGAGCTGTTGTTTGCTTAGGCTTATACCTTGCAGGGGGAATTACATGTTTTTGAATTGTTCGGACAGGGCGACATTTGCTAGTGCTAAAGATATAAGGGCCACGGAGAGGCTGCAGGTGCAGCCAATTCCCAAACTCGCAGAGAGTCCAGAGTTGGACTAAACAGATATGCCTTAAGAGTGCACCTGTCTGGCTGCGGGATAGCATCCTTAGCTCGGCATCGGACTGCGCAATCGGAAACCAAAAAGATCTGACCACAGCGGACTCCCACAGACGTCCTGCGGGTTGATTCGAGCTGGCATGCTTCCGCTCAAAGTCTCCCCCTTTGTGAAGTTCTGTGCCTATTTCCCACAACCTTAGACTACCACTGACTTTGTGACCCTTGCTCTGGCCTGGCATAAATATAAGGAACCTTTTAAAAAGAGACTCTGAGTTCAGCCATGTTTACACACTCATCTTCTCACCTGGCAATTTGGCGCGCGGGGTGTGAACATCATATCGTACGATCTTCTGCAACAGGAGACCCCGCACCACGTTTGTTCATGTTCCCAATCATCCAATAGCAATGCAATCCTTTTGGGAACGCCCATTTTGGGTGTTTGTTTAGATATGGAGTTCAGAGTCCAAAGTCAATTGGAATGCTGATTTTGTGGATCTCCCTTCTGGTGAGCATGTTTTCTGAATGCACATGTTGCCTTTTAAAGACATATGTTTGGACTGTTGGAAATCACATAAAAGCGACATCAACCACCGGTGGAAACTTTGTCCGAGGTGCTTTGGTGCTCCTGGCTCGAGGACTCGTGAGTTGCCGTGTCAAAAGCCCATGCATATCCCAGGTCCGAGTATTTCGGGGCTGATGAAAGTCCAATTCTGCAAATATGAGATTCTTCTAAGCCGGGTGTGCGTTGTTTTATCAATGAGCCCCAAGAATAAGGGGGGTTGTGTTGCGGCCGAACAGTCAGGAGAAACTTGCCTTACTTGTAAATTCCTTGTTGCCGATGTGTAAATTATTGTAATTTGCCCAGATATGAAATTTGTTTGTGGCAACTCCTTTGCCTCGGCGTTGCCTTTGTAGATGGAACACGGTGGCCCATACCCCTTTGATTTGATAGTCAACAAAGAAGGCTCTACAAACGAGGTTGTAACCCTCATAGGATCCGAACCCCCTTCCCTAACTCCCACCCCAAGCCCATTGCTTCCTGAAAGGCCTCTGTTTCAGGAGGGCATTTGAGTTTGCTCTTGGGGGGCTGCCAGAAATTACTGTAAGAAAAGGCCAAACCTATTGTGCCGCAATGGTTACGTCATATGGCCCAAATGATACGGACCCCCATGGAATGGTGATTTACGCTACAAAACTGGGAACCAACATTTTGACAACCTGCCATATGCCATTCATAGAGCTATGCCACTTCTAGATACCATGCCCTTTCTTTTGGCAGTTCTTTGTTTCCCTCTGTCTTCAAAACCCATGGAGGTCCCTATCCGAACCTGGGCGCCCCCTCAAAATGTGTGTTTGACTCTTCTTGGTCTGTTTTTACCCAACCAAAAAGGGTTCCATGAGTTTCAGAAAGATCCATGCAACGTGCACACAGAACGTGCGTGAGGAGACGCCGCCCAAGTCTAGCGACCTCGCCTCAGCGGGTGAAAGTAGATGTCACGCTTTCCTCGCAAGTAAAGCGGATGACGAAACCTAAATGAGGATTCCACTTTGGAAACCTCGAATTAACCCCTATCGACCTGATTTTGTGGACGGTAATTAGTCTTTGAGTTTCTTCAAAGGGAGGCCAAAGTAAATCAAAGGAACATCGGCTATTTTGGGGATCCCCTGAATTTGGCCCGAAGCCGGACAAGGGGCTGTGCGCCAAAACACAGGCCCAGTTTTGAATAATCAGGTGCCAGATCCAGACGCTGTTGGCATCCGAAGCAAACGGACTTTTGGATATTCGGTGCTCACCCAGCAACACGTTCGCCCGGCTAGAGATAAGACAAAAGCTGAGGAGTTGAACCAAGGCTCGGTCTAGAGGCTAGAGGCGGGCTTTGCTCTCGATTTGCGACTTAAGCAATCAACATTTCTACAATATTCAAGGGAACGGCACAGGCCACACTCAGCAACCCATTGGAGAATGCGGCCTTACACCTGGGTCTGCCTTTTTCAGGGTCCCCTTTTAGGGGTCGGTTCAACAGGAAACCAAGACAAAGACGAGTCGTTTTTGGGGTCCCTTATGTTCAAGGGCGTTCTCTGGGCTTGGGAGGCGCGGATGCTTTTATGCCATTCGCTTGCAAGGCACTACCCCTTGCATAAGTGGTATACAACCTCCATATGTTGAGACATGTTGAGACATCATGTCACATGAGGACACGACGGACCGGAGCGCGAGCCTTGGATCTGGGCCATGCGAGGATCGCCAATGCTAAACATGTCGGGGTGTTTGTTCTCAAGAGTACCCGGTGTGGTGGTTGTAAAGGAAAACCAAAAGGACTACCAACATGCACTTCCCCCAACAAAAAACAGACCCATGTGACAAAATAGTGAGACTGATGACTTCCACAGTGGGGCGTCCACAGTGTTTCAGACAAAATGTTTGGCCCGGAGTCCTCTTGGAGGTGTGGCAAACTGGTGGCAAGAGGAACTGAGGTAAGCAGTGGCATCTCATGTGTGCGGTTACCCCAAACACGAAGCCAGGTCGTTTGGCCATGTGAGTGTTGGGGAAGGCGTCAAGACCAGGAAATTACCCAAAGCGAAATGGATGGTTTCTGACCGGCTCTAAACCAACTGCCAAACTCCAATTTCGACAACAGGGGGCCGGCATTTCCCAAAGCCTATGTGTCAAAACTAGTTTCCAAGTGGCTTGTGATTTCAGGATGTGCTTTCAAACCAGCCAAAACGACCTCCATTTGGTCCTACAATTTCCTGCACTGGCCATACTGGGCAAAATCCAGCCAGTTCGCACCAATTGGTAGGTGGTTTATCCCAGTATTCACAGTATTCATAGAAGGTTGTGTTGTTCATCCCAACTGGTGCCTGGCGCGGATTTTGTCCAGAACCTTCCTGCCCCCTGGGAATTGCCCGAAAAAGGAGCTCCAGTTTCAGATTCGTTTGACACTCGGCTCGGCTCCATGGGCTCCGTGGGCTCGTGTCCATACCTGTGAGGAAGATATGGGGGGCGTCCCTAGGATTGCAAGATGTTCTGTGTCAAATGACACATCCCTTTGCCCAAGCCAGAGAGATGTTTTCTGAGTTTTGTTCAACGCCCACGCCGAAGAGCAGTTGCTTCCATTTTGCAATTCCTACATCAACCAATCGGGTGCCCCTCTGGACCACGTTCCAAGAGGTTGGACCCCCAAACCGGCGCTCCTTGTCCCGTTCAAAGCCCCGAAAGGGCCTCAGCAAAGCGAGTCCCGACTTCCAAGGCAAGGAGCTCAGCGACACACGGCACTGGCGGAATCTGATTGGCCTGGGCCTCATGGGCCTGTCTTGAGGCCATTGTCTGGACTAATTCTACTGTTTTGCCGGGTGTTAACCAGCCTGTTTCCCATGACTCTGTGGTGGTAAGCCACCTTGGCCTTGAAAGAATTTCTTGGGGTTGGCTGTTGCTCGACAAATCCCTGCTATTCCTGTCGGGTGCCTGGGGATTCCAGCAAATGGACTGGCCTGGGGGGAATTGGCAAGGTGTCATCAATTTTTATCCTGACATAATACGACCCGCAATCGTCCGGGATCGTTGGGAGGCCTTCGGAATGAGGGAAGGGTGAAAGATGTTGATATTTGAACAGGAAAAGAGTGCGTCCTCCATGCCCTCATGACTCATGACCTGTGCTTGAACGACATGACTCGAGGCTGTTCCAGGCAGGGCGACTTCTCCAGCCGGGTACATGATTTCCCCGTCCAGGTCCTTCAATATCAATCACCCTGAAATCTGGCCCCGAGCAGCTCTAAAATATCGAAAGGTTTCTGGAGAAGAAGCCACCCAGATGGATCTGGACGTTTGGCGAGCAGGTAGATGAAGGTCTTTGGGTTTCCTTTCCAGTCGAGATAGTACCTTGCCGGATTCGCGTGAAAAACAGACATCTTCACCCGGTGCTTGCCGAGGTACTGCTGGCAGTTGGTTCCTCTTCGATGTTGCCTTTTACGGCACGGTGCGGCCATGCTGCTCCCCCTTGACAGGGTGCGATCGAGATTCCGGGTACGGTGGGGGCTCCTTTCTGTTTTGGGTTTCCTTTGAAGCAAGTGAAGCCGGGCATCCGAGAAACACCCCCAAACCAATGCCGGTGTCCTTGTTTCCTTTGGCCACTGGGCAAGTACCTGAGTCGTTTCCTGGGCCGGTGGCCAGCCCCATATCGGAAGGATAAGGATAGACTTGTGCGTTTTGTGACCCACAGCTGCAGGCGCGACGTCGTTGGCTCGGATGTTGGGCACCTGAACTTGCTGTTCTGTGAACTCCCCTTTGTGCTGCTCCTTCCACTTCGTTGCCAAGAACACAACAGGAAATGAACACTCCAAAAGCGCCCTCTCTGTCTCGTTCTCAACGAAAGCCGAGCTCGCCAGTCGCCAGTCGCTTCAGTGCCGCAGCCGCCGCGGGTTTTTAGCATTGGATAAGTCGCCCGATCCACGGGGGTATCGTCCTGGGCTGAAACATCTCGTCTGGCCGACTTGAACCTCTCTTAACATCCCGCAAGCACCGCGGAGTTTCAAGACATTTCGCCCGTCAAAAGGAGTTGAGTTCCTTTGAGGACGGGTTCTTCTCGGGACCAACACGACGGCCTTATGCAAAGGGGCACCCTGTTTGACACATACCCGATACCTTTAAAGTCGGTACCTGCCATGGAGGGTGCTGAAGATGTGGAATGGCAGCCCGGCCGCAGAAGCACTCTTGGGTCAAACTGGCCAGGGCAAAGGGAGCAGCATACTCCCCAAACCAAGTGCCAAAAGGAAACTCGTCTAAACCTGCAGTTCCCATGTGACTTTTTCAGGGAACTATAGCCTTCCGTATTTGGCTTGATCATGATCATAGACCTCACGCTCCATTCGGAGGTGATTTGCGGCCAGTAGAAACTAAGTCGTCTTGATGCAGACCTTGAGAGCCTCCATGTGCAAAGGCTCGTCATCGGTGACGTGGAAAGAGCAACCACGCCGTCGCTGCCCTCGCCGCCGTCGCTGCTTGGCTGCACGTGGCTTGGAATCTTGGAGAAGCAGCGACAGCAGAAACACGGGACGAGTGCAAAAGGGGTGGCTGAATAGGGGTCATAGGAGGTCGAGAAAACAACATCCGGTTCGTAGCCGAAAGAGGGCGTAGCAAACCTTGCGACCCTTTGGCTTTTCAATATCGGGCTAATCCGAAATGATTCGCCTTTTGTTCCCAGGCGTGAAATTTTAACATGTAGGTGCACAGCGATTTCTTTTGGTGCAGTGTGCGCCTTCAAGCTCCGGGTTCGATGGATTAGTAGTTCTCATTGGGTTTTGTGTTTGCTCGTTCAGCTGGGGTTGGCAAACCACGTACTAGTACATGTATGAGACTGGCTTCAGCTCAAATAGTCCAACCCCAGTGCACCCACACAAATTCCCCACATATCGAAAAACAAGGAAGAGCTGAGTTGTTGATTTGTCGATGGCTGCGGAAAGCAGGGTTGCCGATATCAACGATTGGATGAAGCAGGTTGAGTCATTCGTTGAGACGAGTCAATGGGCGTCGGATTCCATGGGAGAACGGGAAGGTTCATCAATGCGTTCCATCACACACACACAGGCTGGCGTCAAGGATCTCCACTGAGGACTATGCAGAACCCCTCCAGACTCAGATGTTGGCTTCCACCGTTGGGGTTTCTTCGATCCAGTAGAATTTCGTAAGCGCCTTTGTATTCGTTCGGGGGGGTCCTTGGAACCGAACCCAACGAAGGGTTTAGTCATTCTCGCCCAGCATGATACCCAGGACACTGCTACCGGAGAGCCATGGTTGTGGAGAATTGGGGGTAAGGCCAGCTTCTGTGATGCCAACAAGGGTCGACGGGGACTCAGGCCAGTGCTGGACGTGCCCATTTCCCTAGCCAGTGCTGCCACGCAGACCACAGAGGCCGCAAGGGCTGCGTGGGCGTTGCCTGGGCGCAGCAGTGTTCACGAGAACTGGGACCCTTTTTGTGCGAAACAAATATTCCTGAAATCATTGAAGACATGGGTTTTGAGGTGACCCGGTGGTTCCCTTCTCCATTTCTGGAAACACCTTGGCAGAAACGCATTTCGAGCGCACGGAAGCCAGGTGGTTCCTCCCATTCGAAAACACCCATGGCCACCAGGCAAACTAAGCCAGACCCAATTTGGAGGAGGTCGGATGGACCCATGAAAGAGCAAAGCACCGAGCTTCCTGTTGGAAGTCCAGTCTTAGAGTGGGGCACACAGACAAAGTCTGAACTGATTTGAACTGTTTGTTTGCCGGACCTGAGTAAACACCCAAGAACCTGTTCCAGTGTTTTTTGTTTGTCCGGACATGGCGCAAACACTCTTCGTATAGCAAGCGGCTTCGCTTGTTCTCCAAGGGCTAATGATTGCTTAGATGCTCCGGACTTGGGTAGCAAAGTTGGTTGTTACCCACTGCGGAAACTTACAACTGTGGAAAGTGGTTTATCCTCGTTACCAGCCACTTAAGTCCCGGACCATCTACATGGCTCCGAGCGTATCGTACCAAACGCTGAGCCGCGGGGTCCGGGTGGGGCTGGTGCGAGTCTGCCATACACAAAGGGCCGGGCCGAGTCGAGCCATCTTTTTCCTTGTTTGGAGCCTTGCGCTGTATCCAGGCCCTCGGACCAGGTGTCCTTATCACGATTTGTTGCTGAAAAACGGAAAGGGAGGCCTCTGAAGGGCGCCGGACAGGGCTCAGCCTTGGCCTGCTACTCAGCCACAAGGTAGGTTGTCAAAGCCAGGCCCCTTGTCAGGAGCCCGAAACGTGGCAGCCAGCGCTTTCAGCTGCCACAACCAAGGGGACCCGTCATGAACAAGTATATAAAGCTAAACAGCTCGTGCGCCACGCATGTGCCACATATTGAATCTAGAAACAATGCGTCTCCGCAAGTGTTGGCATACCCTTAGTTTTGGGGATTTCGAGAGTGTAGAGGGATTCATGAACTTCCCCCCCAGCCTCAAAAAGTTTAGCCTAGGACATGTGTTCCCGCATATTTGAGGCATCATCAGGAACTCTCTGAGCCAAAGGTTCCTGGAAAATGTCATGGTTTCTTGGAAATCCGCCCATGGACTCAGGTGAGCGGCACGGGCGAAACGGCGGCTCCGATGTCCCTGCGCCCAGGCGAGGGCTTCTCAGTGGAATTGAATCCGAAGTCAACATCACCACAGATGTTTGGGGGGGTCCCTTTTGCTTGTGCGGAATAAGAGCGTGATCTAGCAGGAATAAGAGAGCTGGTCTGGCATTTTGCCATGGCCGCTGATGTTCCAAAGACACGGTGTTTGCGGGTGTGTGTTGGAAGGGACCAACAAAACGCCATCTAACAGCCTAGCTGGGATACGTGACAATATGAGGGTCAAAGACTTGTTTCTCTTCGTGTGACGGCGCAAGGACATGGGAGTGAGTCAAACCTAGGGTCCGTTTAAATTAAGGAGTTGGTACGCAAAAGCTCTTCTTGTTGGGCGTTCCGAGACACACACACATAGAAATATCTCCACATCCACATCTGACAACGGAGGGAGCCCTGTTTGGGGGCTTAGTCGCAGAAACTAAAAGGAGAGCGTTGCAAGTCAGATCCCTGACTTGCTGGACAGCGGCCCTGGTGCCTTTTTGTGCGAAGCTGTGCGTATCGTCTTCACTTGATTGCAAGATGCCTCTCCAATTCACGGGCTTGCTGACCAACAGAAAGCGCAGGAGGGCTGTGCTGAAGGCGAGTGATCCGTCAGCGGCCCATGTCCAAAAGTCGGGGGGTGCAGTTTGGGCCGAACACCTCCAAAGGCTTCCCGGTCCTGGGCGCGGCGGCGGGCCTGGCCTTCGTCGGCATTTTAGGCGGGAGCCCAAATGTCGCTACCCGGTTTGTGGATGGGAGAACCCGCCACTTTAAGAGGGTCCCCCAACAAAAACACACCGAACATATCATCGTGACCATGGTTGTAGGTAACTTGACTTCGCTAGTTTCCGGACTTCGCCCACTTTTTGGTTAGAACCGCTTTGCTGGTAAGCATAGAGTTCGGACTTTTTCCAGCAACTGCTGTGGGAAATGTGCAGAGCGTGTCTGAGATGACCTCATTTAGAGTGAACAAGTAGTCATGGGAATCAATCGTGGTGCCACAGAGGTGATCTTCCACAATGATGCAGGCATGTTTGACTCCGTAATTTGAGTCTTTCCTTTGGTTGCCTGCTCCAATGGTAGCTGGAAGCATTGGGCGCAAGTTCAACATATTTGTTGGTCCACGGGAATCTTGTTTTGGAGCAGCTTGTTTACGCGAATCTCCCGATATGCTAGGTCTTGAAAGGGAATCTCCACCATTTTGAGTCTTCCCAAGTGTTTTGTGTTTGTTAACAGGGAATCTTGCTTGGGGCAACTGTTTTATGATCTTTTGTTCCATGGGGAGCCAGAATTTACTTTAGAGAGAATTCCGCACACGATGCTTATTTTCAATCACTTAGTGTTTTTAAGGGACTCTTCTTTTGGGGACGGCTTTTTGCGGTTTCATGAACATTCTTAGAGTGAATCTCCGAATAATCACATCTTCATGGGGACCCCCCTCCCCAAATTGCGATTTTTCGAAGGAATCTCCAGCATTGTGTATTCCACGATTCAAAATGTTTGTTTGTTGAGGGAGCAGAATTGTCCACCATGTCAATTCGCCCTGGCCGTTTGCGCCTTCTACGTCGTCAAGATCCTCCTTGTCGTGCTCCCGCTCAAGGCGCCGCTTGTCGGTGCAGCGCTCGTGCGTTTCGCACATGGACGTCTTCCGTACAGCGTGGGCCACACAGCGCACTCCAGCCCCAGCTCCTCAATGAAGTGTAAGGGGCGCTTGGCCGCGGTCTCCGACACCTCGCCCTCGTGCAGCGTCCAGGAAATCTTGGCGGTGCGCGTGAAACTTGCGGTAGGCGCTTGTGTCGTCGTCAAGCAGGTGCCGTGGCGCTGCCTTGGCCCGCCGCCGCTCGCTGCGCTCAGAGAGGTCTGCGATTCTCTGCTTTGGCGTCTTGGTTGCTCAGAGGAAACGGATCATGCGGATGTGCTTCCTGTTGGGGCGGCCTTCGTGTGGTTCCATGACTATTTTTACAGAGAATCTGAAAACCTTCTTTAAATCTTCAGTGTGGTCGCAATTGTGGGCGAGGCATTTCCTTTTGGGGCAACTGTTTTAAGTTCCATGCCCATCTGGAAAGCATTGCAGTTGTTTTCTGAGGCTCTCCCTTGTGGGGCAGCCATTGTGAGGTGTGACTATTGTTATTGCGCGTTTTGGACTTCAACAATATCATGCTAGTGGGTACGCAACAGCGAGGGCGGTTTCTGGTAATTGACCATTCCGGGAGGAGACAAAGGTCAACCCGCCCGGTGCTGAACCAACATAACTCATGGCTTTCACTTGTTCGAGGCTGGAGTGGATGCGGGGGGATCAACGTTTCCTACCTTGAGCAGATGTAGATGGCTGGAGATAATCCCCAAAGAAGAGTGGTCTTGGACAGGGGGTGTCAGGTGAGTTAGTCTCTTCGAACCTTGCTCTCTTGTTTGACCTTGGACCCAAAACTCAAAAACAAAAACGAAAACACCCCCCAACACGGGGTGCTGGGAGAATATGAACATCTGAACATATACACATGGCTTTGTCTTCAAACAGGTGTCCCCCTTGAATGGGTGGTTTTTGCTTTCCCTTTGCTTTCCCTACAGGGACCGGGAGGGGTAGCAGCCCCCCAAAAAGACCCGCCCTTTGGGGCTGAGACTTGACGCAGGTGCGTTGCTTCTGCGCAGAGGTGGTGCCCTAGCTCGAGGGCAGTCATTCAGATAGCGAACTAACACAGACTTGTTTTTCAAGGGCAACCAAAAGCAAACCTCCACTTGTTGGGTTCCCTATTTTGACATACCCGATTGGACAAATTCATGACAAACTCACCTGGGTACAAGACACGCTTAATCACGATGAAGGTCCTTTTTTCCGTTTGTGATTCATAGATTCATAGTTACATGGTATGATTTGTAGTACTTGCTTACTTATGCATAGGTTTCCTTGTGAGAGTGCCTTGTTTGGGCAGTTTGAAAGGACAACATGGAAGGGGTCCCACAATGTGCAGTTCTTTGGGAGAAATTGGGCCCATGAAGGGTCTCTCCTTCAACTAGCTGCGGAAATTGACTGTAGCGGCACCGACAGAATCAAAGGGGGGGGGCTTTCCAAAGGAGGTTTCCCCTAGAAATGGTGGTTGTTGGTGTCCCATGTGAATCTGTAGAGTATTTGGTTGAGCTCTTGAACAGCCGTGGCGGAACCCCACTTCAACCCAGATGTGCCGATCTCAGCGCACGCCCTTTGGATGTTGATCAACCCCCGAGTAGGAGCTTGGAGAAGGACTTCGATTCGAAGCGAGTGGCCAATGGCCTTCCGCTGTTCTGAAGCAGGGCGTTTGACTGCCAGGAGCCATCAGCTGAATCCGCTGTGTGGGAAACCGAAGGCAGCAAGGTGGAAGGGTGGAATATGATCGCCCGGTGATACTTGAGCCCTGACAGCTGAAAGGCCATATGTACTGTATCTCACAAAAGCCCTGAGAGTGAAAGACTCACCTACGACTCCAACATTGACTCGCAAAGCTCCGGAGGATCAACCCCAATGTGGCAATTCTAGGATTGTAACTCCCGGCTTTATGGGGGGTCTATTTGAAAACTTGAATGGTCATATTGGTGGCTGGGCTCCGCGTTCTTTTGGCTTCCTTTCAAAGCAACCTGAAACGGGCACCCTCAAAAAAACACAGAGACACACAGAGACATGCACAGAGACTGGCCCGACCGCAACCCCTCGCCAAGATGCTGCAAAGCCTACGCCGACGCCTCCAGGCGAAAACACTGCAGGCCGGCGCTTTGCGCGCTGCAAACGTCATGAGACGTTTGCCTATTGCGAAGTCACCAATTTGGGGGATACGAGCTCAAGCCAAGCATGTAAGGTGGACCCTAGATGAGTCATCTCATTGATAAAAGCGCAGCTCCCCGCATAGTGTCATGCACATGCTCTCCTTGGGTTGCGCCTCCGATCAACCACGGCCTTAGGCCTTTTTCATCAATTGGGTTCCCATTGAGACAGGTTTGCCTTCGGAACCCCCATCATGGCTGGTGTGCCCGTGGTTTTTGTTTTCAATGAAAACAACCTAGATGCATTTCCACAAATCCGCTCTCGCCTGACAGACAGATTCAGGGAGGAGGGGGTGAGCCAAAACTGGGGGCAAATCGATGGTTTACCTCTGAATGCCTCATTGCTTTTGGAAAAGCCTTGCAATATATGCTGCCTGCTTGCATTTCCATAAAGTTTACCGCGGACTACCCCGGTCGAACCTCCCAAAGATTCCCCCAGAAGTGAAATCCACAGTCCCTCTGTGGCAGAGTCCGAGCGTTGATTGACCCAAACTTCGGAGCGGTGGACTTGGCATGCGAGCACAGTTCGCACATCCGGTGCCCCAGAATTTGACCCGTGGTTGACCGCCTGGTGGCCTTTGTGAGGAGCTGAAGAGCCAACGCCATCAAAGAAGGAGAGGGGGGATGAGCGGACAACGCGACTGGTCTAATGTCAACGATTTAGGGAGCGAAGGGGCAACTACACCATCCTTGCTGTTTCCCGCACAAGGAGGGGAATACCCAAATTTACACCATGAGAAAGTAATATGCAGTCTCATGACAAGAATAGTAGGCCCTTCAGATGGTTGCGTTTGGCTTGAAGATGACGGGGCACCCGAAATGTTCCGCAGAAAACACGTCCTCTTGGGGAACAAAGCCAAAAAGTCAACCCCTACAAGGGGCCCTGGACAGATGAGGGGCTGAATGTGGCTGCATTTGCAAGAAGAACGGCACTGCATGACACTGAAGTGCCAAATTAAGCCTTGGCGCACAAATGGCGATTGTTTGCTATTGTGAAAACATGATTCAGCAAAGGACCGACTGGTGTTTTGCAAATCCCTAGCGGCAGTATTAAAACAGGGGGGAGTTATTGGGTGGCTATATAACACCTGTCTATTGCTTGTGTTTACAGGCCAGGGGTGTTTCGAATGGCGGGTGCTGTTTGGAGAGCCGTTTGCAGAGTGAGCAGATGCGCAGAATGTCTGTGGCCACTTGAGAACATGGTGATGTGATTCCTCCAGGACTGTATGCTGGTCCATTGACTTGGGGGATTGGCATGCCACCACAGAAAGTGGGCACGGAACTTGAAGTCAGCACATTGCAATGGACAAAGAACAAACAGACAAAGACTGGGTTGTTCAAAAGGTCAAGCAAAATGAATGCTTGGTCCTTGTAGTGATGTCCCACGGATTATCCCGCCATTTTGACCAACCCCGAAGGGCTGAGCATATCCCAAGCAACGCAGCGGAACGCAAAGTTGCACTTGGAGTTGGCGTTGCCAGGACCTGCCTGATTTGGCGGTGCCATCCTTGCCGGAGCTTGACACTAGGCTGAGCCAAATATTCTAATACAAATCAAGGGGCGTACTCGTCCAGAAAGGGCCCTTTGTTTGATGCCCAATTGTTCCACGCCACCTGTTCTCCGTTTTGTTTGGTGATTTGCTCACTAAACATGATCAACCCCAAAAATAGTTCCCTTCTCAACAATACATTCCCCTGACGGAAAAACAGAGACCTGGCGCAATTAAGTTTCTAGTTAGGGGCCAGAAACTTGGCTGGGCCAATGCAACCCCAGTTCTTCAGTGGTTTTCACCTGGTTCTCCTTCTTTCTAGGGGGTGACCGCGTGAAAGGTAATCAATCCAGGTGTCCTCCAAGTCACGCGGTTTTGCGTTGGCCAAACCACGGGTTTCTTGGGATCCAGCGTCCTGAAACTGGGCACGTTGGATGGGCTTTCGGCTTTCGGCTTTCGGCTTTCGGACGGCCACTGAGCAACGCTTGACACAAGTCTGGTGGGCTCCGCAAAGCCCTTCGCAGGCTGTATCATAACAGGTGCTGTGTTGGTCCCGAACCTTTCAATGGCCGCATACCTTTGTTCGTTGTCTCAGGGCTAATTGACGTTGCTTATAGTTTGTTCCAGTGCCGATGCATGTCAAATCGGCGACATTTGAACCAGTTCCTGTTCCCCGTGAGTCATTGGAAGGCTTGGTTCCAGGATCATGATTTTCTACTGCTTGGCTTGATCAAGGGCCCCACAGAAGTCCTGAAACAGGATGCTCTCGACGTACGGCACTAGAAGGGCCTCCGCCAAGGTGCAAGGGAAAATCCAGTTTTTGGGGAGCCGAATGAAACGGGAGCCCGAAAGGTGTAGAAAATCACAAAACAAGTGGTGGTCCTTTTCCACAACACTGGTACAGCTAAAGCCGATCCCGCGCTCTCAATCTCGCAATGGCTTCAGGGTCTTACTCAAGTGGCGCATGAGCAACGGACTAGTCACCGGGAGTCGCTTCATTTGGGGGCTTTGAGGAGGACGAGAAGGCGATGAGTAGCAGTGTGTCCGCTGCTCCCATGAGGAAAAACTGCAGCACCAGGATAGTATCCCTGACATGTCCCTTTGTTCGTTGCTTTTGCTTGTTGGATGGAGTGAGGTTTATTAATTACGCCCAAAGAAAGGTGTTACTTCTTGTTCTCCGGTGGTGGCTGCAAGTGTGAGAAATGACTTCATGCAGAATTAGAAGGCTTCGGATGCATTTCGGCCAGCTGCAAATGAAAAGGGCTCCCTGGTGTCACTTTGTGCCTTAAAAAAGTGGAAAGAGGCCCAACATGTTGATCAGCACCCATGCGGGTGTGTCTTAAAATTTGGGAGGGAGCCTCGCCAAACAAATAAAATCCGAATAAACAACCTGGTGGTTTTTGTCGTGATTCTCCTTCAAAACCACCCAACACATGGAACCCTCAAAAAGTATCCCCCCCATGTATGTTTGTCTCAAGCGTCACATACGCTCAGCCAAGGAGCAGCCAATTGCGGTGCAAAGCGACTCGAAGATCATTACGTCGCCTGGTGTGTGCGGATCTCAGTGATTCTATTTACCAGTAAAGTAGGGAACCAAGGAAACCGCCCTTCAAAAACCAGAAGGAGAATCTCTGGTTACCTCCTAGCATTGACTGGGTCAGGGAAACAGCCACTTGAGCGCGAGCCCGGTTGTTCAGTCGGTTCTGGGATGCCTTTCTGGTGTTTTGCTCTAGCTTGCTCACCACACAAACCGAACAATCCAAAATGGGCAAGCTTTTCATTGAAGGAAAGATATCTGGCTGATGCAAATTCTAGCCGGTGTCCATTTAGTTTGGGAATGACAAACGAATAACCTATGCTACCCATAGGCATGATTGCTTTGACGGGTGGCTAGGTAGCTTTCCTCACCGCACAAATGCAATCGCAATAAGTCTGGCTTCTATCATCACTCACCAACAAAGAGATGTCATTCCGCTGAAAGGGAACAACACTCCGTTACATCCCTCAAGCTTTGGCCATTGGGGGCCCTTTCCGACAGTGCTCAAAGAAAAACGAGGAAGTTACCCTTCGAAAGCAAACAAGTGTTTTCGATCGCAAATGGGCTCAGAAAGAACTGATTCGAAGAGGTGCCTTCATTGCCTTTCAGCAATAAGGTGCGCTCGGGCAAGTCACTTTCTCCGACCGCCTGAATACAGAATGATACATAAAACTAGCCATACATGTTCGGTTTCCTTCCCAGGAAGCTCCACGAGCCCAAAACTTGTCAGACCAAGAAGAAAGCAGCACGGTGCCCCATCCAACTGCAAACATTTCTACATTTCCACAGGTCCAAAGCAAAGCGCAAAATGACCCTTGCCAGGACGGCGTTGCCGCCGAAGTGGGAGAACGAGCCGGTGAAGGTTGCCCTCGCGGAGGTCACAGAGGCAGGTTTGAGCCAGAATCGAAGCCCGGGTAATTTGAGAATAGACACCCACCCTCCCTTTCCTAAGGTGCGGATGTCCGCCCTGATTCTTTTCTCATGGAAGAGTTGACCCCACTGGCCAACCTCAACCTCAGGAAGTCGAGAACGCCAAGCTGGAGGCCAACCCGAAGGCCGCTGAATATGACCTGCCTGGCTGTTGCTGTGGTTTTCGCGTTAAAGGGGGGTCCCCTTTGCTCAACTTGTTTTTGTGACGTGTGTGTGTGTGTGTATTGTGTGTGTATTGTTTGTTTGTTTGTTTGTTTGTTTGTTTGTTTGTTTGTTTGTTTGTTTGTTTGTTTGTTTGTTTGTTTGTTTGTTTGTTTGTTTGTTTGTTTGTTTGTTTGTTTGTTTGTTTTGTTTGTTTGTTTGTTTGTTTGTTTGTTTGTTTGTTTGTTTGTTTGTTTGTTTGTTTGTTTGTTTGTTTTTGTGTGTGTGTGTGTGTGTGTGTGTGTGTGTGTGTGTGTGTGTGTGTGTGTGTGTGTGTGTGTGTGTGTGTGTGTGTGCGTGTGTGTGTGTGTGTGTGTGTGTGTGTGTGTGTGTGTGTGTGTGTGTGTGTGTGTGTGTGTGTGTGTGTGTGTGTGTGTGTGTGTGTGTGTGTGTGTGTGTGTGTGTGTGGTGTGTGTGTGTGTGTGTGTGTGTGTGTGTGTGTGTGTGTGTGTGTGTGTGTGTGTGTGTGTGTGTGTGTGTGTGTGTGTGTGTGTGTGTGTGTGTGTGTGTGTGTGTGTGTGTGTGTGTGTGTGTGTGTGTGTGTGTGTGTGTGTGTGTGTGTGTGTGTGTGTGTGTGTGTGTGTGTGTGTGTGTGTGTGTGTGTGTGTGTGTGTGTGTGTGTGTGTGTGTGTGTGTGTGTGTGTGTGTGTGTGTGTGTGTGTGTGTGTGTGTGTGTGTGTGTGTGTGTGTGTGTGTGTGTGTGTGTGTGTGTGTGTGTGTGTGTGTGTGTGTGTGTGTGTGTGTGTGTGTGTGTGTGTGTGTGTGTGTGTGTGTGTGTGTGTGTGTGTGTGTGTGCGTGTTTTTTTTGGGGGGGGGATTAAGAGTTTGTTTGATTGATGTTTGATGATTCAAACCTTTGTTTGCGTTTTCTTTGGCAGATGTTGTGTTCCCTGGTGTTGGACCCATTCCCTGCTCAACCTGAAACCAGTCGTGCTTCTGGTGGTGCGACTAAGTGTAAGTGATGATTTCAATTCCACAAAAACGCAAAGTATCCCTTTCCCCCAAGCGCATCCATGGCGTATGCCTAGTGATCATATTCCTTGAAGAAACATGGGGCGTCCAAGAGGGTTCCCTTGAATCTGTCAGCAAACGCCTGCCCTTTGCCACAAACAAAACGATCATCAAACTCACCATATTCCTTAGGAGTTTCAGTAGAAGCATCCCCAGGGCCAGAGTGTAGACAGCCTCGCAACAAACTAGGGCTGGAGGATCTGGGAATGCTATTCATCAATTGGAGGCATTCTTTGTACAAGTTCCGACGAGCTCACCTAGGGGTAAAGCGAGCTGATAATGATGCCCTGCGTGGGGTTTTAAACATCGCCTTCTTAGGCGCTCTGGCTCACAGTCATTGTGCCTCCGGGTGAGGTGCGCCCTGGGGTGGGCAACCCTCGGGTGTCCATCGTCCATTACCCCCCTCCCCAGAACGGTGCCCTGCCCCGCTCTGGTCCGGCTGCCCCTGGCGGCCCTCGCTGCCTTGTGTGTGGTGCTGTTGGTTGTGGTTCCGCTCTCTGCTGCGTCATGGTGACCCGGGACCAGTCGCTTCGCGCCACGCTTGCGGCCTTGTCGGATGCTGCGCTCGGCAGCATCAGCTCCGTGCTGGAGGAGGGGATCTTTTTCCCTGGGGTTCACGGTGAGGATTGGGGTGGCACTCATCACCTGGAGTTCGAGGTCCTCCTGGAAACCCAGCCTGGAGAGTGGAGTGCCCAGGTTATCCAGGCACCGCTGCCCTTCGACCTGAATCCCACCCCGCTACCTGCGGCCAGGCTTCAAACTTTCCACCTCCGTGCCCCTCTTGAGTTTCGAGGTGTGTTGGAGCCTGCCCGGTTTTTCGTGCTCTCAATGTCACTCTGCATCCTGGGATGCCTCTGGTTGCCTCTTTGCATGAGGCCTCTCCTGTCTGGGCTGTCCCACTTCCGCTCTTGCGTCACCCTCTTGCGGTGGTGCACCTGTTTGCTGGTGGGTTCCGTGGTTGGACCCAGGCCTTGCGCACGTTGGCTAGGCAGCATGATTTCTCTGTGGAGACTGAGGTGCATGTGGATGTAGATGATGAGGCCATCAGCACTTCTGCGCACACTGACGACGGTAGTGTGTGCCGCAACCCCGCATTCCTCCGTGCCTGGCATGTCAAGCCGCAGTCCCTTTCCATCCAGGCTGACGTTGCTGATCCGGCCATCCTGAATGCTGTCTCGCGCTTTGGAACGGCCTTGGTTACGGCTTCCCCACCGTGTCCGCCATGGTCCCGTGCTAGGACTGGCTCTTCACCGGCCCCGGGCCTCGATAGCGAGGCGGGACAGGCTTTCCTGGACCTGTTTTTGTTCTTGCGCCGTGTCTCTCCTTTGGGAGTTGCGCTTGAATGTGTGGACATGCTCCCCCGGCATCCGCACTTCCGGATCTTGCAGGCTTTGGCTGTGTGGGCGGGATATGTTTTTCATTTCCAGCAGGTGCACGAGCATGCCGGCTTTGCGGGTGCCAAGCGGCTTCGGTGGCTGGCTCTCCTTCTGCGCAGTGATGTTGCTCCCACTTTCTCGGCTCCTGCTGTTCCGCCCCCGATCCCTCGCCCTGTCCCATGGACGGACCCGTCTTTCAACTTCGATTTGCCGGAACCCCTTGCTGCCCAACTTTATTTGACGGACCAGCAGCGACTCGTCCTGTCAAACCCGGCGCTGCTCCCTGCGTCCTTCCAGCCGTCCAGTGGAGCTCTCCTCCCCCCGGATGAGGTCCTTGCCTTGCGCATTGCCGATCCTGCCACGCCGTTGCGTACTCTGTGTGCCCAGTACACCAACCAGCACAACCTCGCCCGTGGAGCGGTTGAGGAGCGTGGCATCTTTGCGCAGATCGTGATGCGGCACGGCATCCCCAGTTTCCTTTCTCCCCTTCTGTGGCTTGGGCTACTTGGCGCAACTGAGCCCCTCGTCCTCCCTGTTGAGGTTACTCCCCTGTTCCGGCTTCTGGGCAACTCCATCAGTGTCCCGCATGCTGCGCTTCCGCTTGCGATCTTCTTTATCACGGTCGGCTGGGTTCCCTTGACCCCCATGGATGCGGTTGATCGTGTTTGGGATGCTCGCCTGCGCCCGGGACAGGTGTATGCCCAGGTCGTCCGGAACCGCCTCAGTTTTGGCGGTCTTGTGGACCTCCTTCGTTTTGCGGTCCGGGACATGCACGAGGTTCGCACTGGCGATGAGCACACCGGCATCCTGTTGGGCTATGCGTGGTGCCCTCTCCTGCTTGGTGTCACGAGTGCCGGGCGTCTTCGCTGTCATTTGGTACTTGATTCCGCAAGCGCCGTTGCGGTTGTCTTCCATGCCAATGCTACGGTTGCGCTTCTTCTCATTGCTCTTCGCATTCCCTACGCGGTGATCCCTCATGTCATGCTCATCAACCATGCTGGAGCTCATCTCCACACTCAACCTGCGGCCCCATTGTCAGGTACCTCGGCCTTGATCGTCCCTGCCCAGCCTACCCATCCGGCTGGGCTCCCCGTCCCACCGCCCCCCCTTGCGATCAGCCAAGATGTCGTCCTGCGCATCGTCGACCCGTTCAACCGGGTCCATGAGGTCTCTGCCCCGGCCAATGCTACGTTGTGGGAGATCGTCTGGTCGCTGCCACTGCCTGATCCTTTGTTGGCTCGTGTCCGCCCCTATGTAAATCAGGTCGCCGTTGGCTTCGACACTACCGCCGACCTCTATGCCCAAGCTACCTTGCGCTTGCGAGTGTTTCCTCTTCCCGGAGGCGGCCTTGGATCTCAGGCTGAGATGACGGACATCTACTCTGACGAGGAGGTCGAACTTGCCCCCCCTGGCCTTGGCCACGCTGACCCCTGGCTGGTGTCAGACCCTTGGTCTTCCGACCCACCATCGCGCAAGCTTGCCAAGTGGGAGGATCTGACCCTGCCCTCGGACCACTTTTTCGTCTATGATGACCCTTCCGAGGATCTCCCGGTCCCTCGGGTCACTCCCAAGCAACTGCTGGGTCCCCACCTTGGTGGCATTTCCTTCGTTACACGGGCGAGCCTTGCCGAGGTCGTGCGCACTACTACCGTTATGCCCACTGTCTTGCTATGCCCGGGAGCTGCCCCCCTCAACCCTCCTCCGCTCCCATCGGTTGAAGGGCCAATCCAACTGACACTGTGCGACCCGCACGCCAAGCAGGAGTATCAGCGGGTTGTGTTTTTGGTCCACCTCTGCCCTGGCATTGCCTACCGTCCTGCGGCCAGCATCACCACCATCGTCGATGTGTCTGAGTACGTTGAACTTGTTGTTGAGAGGTACCAAGCCCTCCTCCCGGAGGCCGAATGGGCCCAGGCCGAAGCTGGTGGCATCTCGGGTGCCAACCGCCTTTGAGGCCTCCTTTCCGCAGATCCGCATTGAAGGAGCCTATGCCCACCGACTCCTCAGAGATTCCCCCCAGGGCCTCGGCAAAGTGGTGCAGTTCATCATCAAGACTCCGGCGGCCATGCGGCTTTCCGCGCTCCGTTTCTCCGGAGCCTCCCTTTGGTTTGTGCGCGATTACTTGCCGAGGGGTACTTCCCCCCTCGATCACTCACCGGTCACCCGCTTCTGGTCGCTCACTCGGGATGGTGTTGCGGACGCCTACACCTTGGGCAGGCCGTTGGCTGGATTTGCTGGCCTTGCGCCTCACAAGCGCGGGGTTGCTATTCGCATCCTTCATCGCCATCTCGCGGAAGCTCGCCGGACTTTGTTGCAGGGTGATGACAGGTTTTGTGAGCTGAACTATGCAATTGTCGCCCGCCTTCACTTTAGTGCGGAAGGCTTCCCGTTTGGTGCCGCCCCTCCTGCCATCGTTTCTGCTGTGCATCGGGCTACCGGAATTGCTGTGATTCCTCTTCGTAGCTTCCGGAAAGGAGGAGTCCTCACCTGGGTCCTTGGCTTTCCCAGCCCGCCTTCCCTGCTGCGCTTTCCCATCA